AATGTTGATTTCCCTATAAGAACTGGAAGCTAAAAAAAAAATTGGACATATTCTGCTGAATAAAGGCTTCCTGCCACTTATGATTGTTGCCTTCTGGTAGCACAGGAGATGCAAAAATGCATTCATCTGAATTTTAAATTCTGAGCTACAAAGAAAGTCATTTGGGTAGAATTTGAAGCAGGGTAAAAATTCACTGTGCAGAGTAAAATTCATGTCCAACCTGGGGTCCAGGAAAAAAAAATGGAGCAACATTGTGGAAAGTCTTGTGATGGGCTTTGCACAAGAGAAGATTGCTTAATTTTTTCCAAACTTTTCAGGCTCTCATTAAATATGAGTGGATGCTAGACTGAATCTGCAGGGGCTTTCACAACCTTCCCTCAAATGTGACTCTGTGTCATTCCATCTGCATGTTTAACCAAATAATTCTCTGGTTGTGTTGGTTCAGTTGATCACCCTGTGAGGAAATGCTGCAGCTTTGGAATTCTGAGGGTCTAAAACCATCCACTGCTCTGTGTCCCCTTGAACAGAGATGAACCAAGAGAATGAGTGACCTGGTCCTGGCAAATGGCTCTGAAGTGGTTTAAAAATTCAGTAGCTGAAAGGGTCTGGGTTTTGTGTTCAGCAGAGGAGATTAAAATGGGGTTTTGCTTCATTACATCATTTTTGGAGGTGCATTCTTAGTCCTGGTTGGGGCATAGATCCCACCTATGCTGTCTTCTTTTTTTTTGGGGGGTCTTTAGCTTCACCTGCTGTGTTTTCAATGTGGGCCAAGGGTCCCTGGCACTCCTGGCACTCCCTGGCACTCCTGGCACTCCTCACATCCGAGGCAGCTTGAGGCACATTTGCCTCTCGCTCTTCCCTTGCCAGCGTCGGCTGAAGAAGCTTTCTGGGAGTGTTCTGCAAATCACAGTGGGAATCACAGGCCAGATCTGTTCTTGCTGAAGCCTTGCTAGTCTCAGAATCAAATACCTGCTTATACTTTTCAAAATGAAGGCAAATAAATTGGCGGCAAAGGGAGAGCTGCTGGTGAAACCTCCGAACGGTCGAGGCAAAGGGGGTTGTGAGCTTTGTATTCTTGTTGCCCTTTGGTCCTGGAACCCCTTTTCTCTCTGGGCAGCCTGTTGGCACTGAGAGGCAGACAGATGACGAGCCAAAATCGGGTGAATTTCTCTTAAATTTAATTCCTGTTAGCTTGCTTTTGTGTGAGGAACTGTTGGATGTGCCCGGTGGGCACAGGACCAGCTTCTCTTTGGGGAAATCAGGATGAGAGTCCCAAAGCACCTGTATTTCAAGTGTTAGTGGAAATTTCCCCTTCCAAAGCAGGCCATATGCTGGAGTGGGATGAACTAATCAGCTTCTGCCGTGGCACAGCAGGGAAGGATCCCAGTGTGGCTGCACCCACGGCGGAGCAGCCCTGGGTTATTTTTAATTAGCACTTTCCCGCAGGAAATAAGTGTAAGGCAGAGAAACGCAGGAGATCAAACCTTTTTTTATCAATCTGGCTTTCCCTGTGCCTGCACAAGCCTCTCCCCACGCTGCCATGCAGATGGCAGTGCCAGGGAGTGCCGTGGGGCTGATTTGCCTCGTGTGGCATCACCCATGGACATGGAGCTGTCAGTGCTCAGATGACATGAGAGGCGAAGCACCAGGGATTTTGTTGGGCTTCTATTTGACCAGCTTTGTTCTCTGTTGGTTTTTTTTCCAAAATGGGAGCCCTGCTTTCTAGTGAGAGCTCAGCTCACTTGGTTAAGCTTGTGTCTGTAATGGAGAGAGAGAGAGAAAGAGATTCCAGCTACGACTCCTGCTTTGAAGAGGAGAGATACTGCTGCCCTGAAAGTGGAAAGGATCTTTCCTTCTTCCCTTCTGCACTTTCATTGGAGGGAAAGGAGGGACTTGATCTAATGTAAATATTGCTTTACTATAGGAGAGATAGTTAGAATTGTGTATATAATGTATTATAGTATTTATTTGTGTAATAATTGTAATATAATTCCCTTCTCCCCATACTGAGTCTTGTGTTATGTCTGGAAAAACCTCTCACACTGCAACAAATTGTTGAAGAGCACATCTCTGCTCTGTGAGTGCTGTATCTGCACAGGTTTGGAACAACCTGTTTTCTTTGTAGGCTTTTTATAGGTATTTGACTAGAGGCTATGTGCTTTGTGCATGCTAAAGCAGGAGGAAAACCTAATAATGCAGCAGAAATCCAGAAGCCCTGGCACAGAGGAGGATCCTTTCAGGTATGAGATGATGGGGTTGGAATGAGATGATCTTTAAGTTCCCTTCCAACCCAAACCATTCTGTGATTGTATGATGGAGTCTGTGCGAGAGTTGACTATTCACAGACTTGCAAATTCCTGTTGGAATAGGAAGAAGTGATCCATAGCTGCAGGAACAGGCCTGGCTCGGTGTCTCCTGGAGTCTTGGAATTAAGGAGTCTCCTCTTCAGGCTTTACCTCTGATCTCTGACAGCCAGTGGTGCCTTTCCTTACCCCCCTTGGCTGCCTTGTTTTCCCAGCAGCTCCTCTGAGTCTCTGTGCTCACAGTTTCTTGCACAATAGCCCCGTGGTGGTTGCACTACCCCGGCCTGTAGACACTCCCTTAATCCAAATAATAGCACACAAAGGTTGTTTACTTGGCTGTTCCTTGGGATATGCTTTCAGAAACCACACAGACTGCAAACGTAATAAAATATGGAACAATGACCTCTCCTGCTGAAGTAATTGGGTGCTTTATAATAAATGACCCTTTTACTTCACTTTCAAAAGCGTGCCAGGGAGAAGAGCAGGGGATAAGAGGGAGCTCAGTAATTTCTCCCTCTTGTCATAGGACTCTTCCTCGGATTCAAAGCCCGGGTTCTGTCCCAGGAGAGGTGACCCATCTGTCACCTGCTGGAGGTGGATGAGCTGCATTCCAGGCTGGGTAAGAAGAGTGTCTTTCCAGTCGAGCCTCCCTGGGTAATCAAGGTATGGGTTTGTCCTGACGGGGATCACGTTCCGGTTTCATTCCAGGATGATGCTCCCCATGGTCCTGCCTCTCTCACTGCCTGCCTGGCAGCTGCTCTGCATCCTGGACTTGGCTGCAGTTCAGTGGGAAAAGAATTCCTAAAAGAATTCCTGAAGAATTTGTCACTGGAGAGCACTTTGGGATGAACGGTGTTACATAAATGTGAGGTTGTGATCAGGCTGCACTGGAATAAGGAGGAATATTTAAATGTGCCTTTTTTTCTGGTAAGTCTTATTTAATATGGAGGGATATCAATTTATCACTGTCTTGCTATGGCTTTTCCCTACCCCTCCAGCTAATATTGTGCATTGCAGGGAAAAAAAAAAAGGGGTGGCCATCAATAACAGAGTGATTACACGGCTCCCTGTGACTTAAAAATCAAATCAAAGTTATTTTTTTCTCAGTGGCTTTCAGGATTCTACCCTCAGTGCCTGTGACCCTGAACCTACAAGCCTGTGTTACACAACATCTGGGATCAGGTCTGGGACATGGAATGGCAGATCCAACCCTTGGGCACTGAGGCTGGAGGGATCAGCTCCAGGGAGCGATCTTAGTGCCAGGAAAATTTGGAGTCTTGCAGAAGAGCTGACTCGGAGTCTCAAATTTTAAGACCTTTTGCCTGGTGTTCAATCCCTTCTAAGTAAACCCAGATCTGATTAGAGACACTAAAGTTCTTTAATTACTTGCCTTGGGTACCTTGGTGAGCAGAAGGAAAAGCCTTAGGACTCAGTTCTTGTTTTTCAGCCTTGTGACTCCAGTGGCTGCACAGCAAAGATCACGTAAAATTTCCCTGTGAAATCCTCACCAGAAGGAAAAAGAGCTGCCCAGCTTCTCCTGGATCAGCCTGACCACAGATCTATCAGGAAGTTGAATCCTGCTGATAAATCCATCCTGGGCATGATCTGTCTTGGTCTATTACGATACCAGATGATTTGCAACCATCACTTTCAGATTCCAGGGTTGTGCTACAACACAGGGATCTTGTGTGTCAAAGGATAGAGAGAAAACACAGGAGAGACCTGAGTTGTTTTATTTCAAATGCAGCTTTGGGTGGTTTGAAGTGCTTGGCAGCCTTTCTAGAAATATTGATCTGTTTTTGTGCCAGTTGCCTGGTGTTAGATCTGGTTAAATATCTCCCTGCACAGGGTGATCCTTGGAAACTTAACCCCAAACATCAGGGCTCTGTGAATAAGCTGCTGAGGCTTTCCCATGAACTGCTTGCTCAGTTCTCTCTTTAATTTCAGACAGAAAGAAGTGGCTCCAGACACGATCAGTTTGTTTGGTGACATTCACGACAGAGGGACAACAGGGGATGTTTGCTTACTTTGTATTTAACACCTACAGCTTCACTGTCAACAAAAACCGGACTGAACTCACTTAAAACTTGGCTCACTTTTAATTCCAAGCTCGCTCAAACAGGCCTGTGTAATTAAAGTAGTTCATAGTAGAACTTCCAGTTCTTTGTGTGCAGATGGGGAGCAAAAACAGAATTATGGAGTTGGTGGGAAGAAATTACAGCCCTCTGCTCCCCCATGGGAGAGCAGCTCTGCCCTGACACCCAGTTGACTGGGAATTAGGAAGGTTATAAATGACAAGTGTTGAACTGGCAATAAGCAGGATTGTGTTCGAACTGTTGTGTTACTTATGCAAAAACAATCAGGGGTATTTTTAGCTCGCGAATTCTGTTGGAAAAAAAATCTTTGAGATGTCACCTTGCCAGCTTAATGCTGTAGTCACATCGTGATCAGATTCGTGCAGCAGGGAAACCTGGCAAAAATTTGAATATTGAATTGCAGAAGAGTTAACTGACTAAGACTGAGAAACTGTCAGCTTTGTCAACCTAAAAAGAAAGTGATTTTTTTTTTGGGTTGCCTAAAACATAATCATAATAGTAAAAACCTAATTATTGTACTATTTTAATACAAGATGCTATTTCACTGTTTGGATTGTCTGATGTCATTACACATCCATATTTATTACAGCCCTGAAGACTCTGTAGTCCAAAGCTTTTATTTCATGAGCAGACATAACACAGGAATTCAAAACAAGACATACATATACATATATATATATACCAATATACATTTAAACAATGCAGAAGAGGTAGTACCATTAATTAAGAAATACATAACATGCAGTAAAAATACCAAGACAATTCAGATCTGTCTTTATTGCACCCCTTTCAAGTATCACAAGAGGCTACAGAATGATTTATTCAGCATCAATTCAAATTTAAAAGTGTTCTCTTGTATGATTTTATCTTGAATTTTCTACTGCTGACCCTTCAGGTGAGTAGCTAAAGGGGACAGTACTTAGTTCAGAAGTTAAATACTATGGTTGTAACTACTCAGAAAATGAGCTTTGAATTCATTACTTGGAGGAACCAGATGGCCTTTGTGCCTCAGGATGTAAAGTTAAGGCCTGAACACCAAATATTTCACCTGATCTCTTTTTCTTCCTCTAAAAAGACCCAGTTGCACGGCTGAGTTGTGTTTTGGAGGGATGCCTACCCTATAAAGGGAAAAAAAAAACATATAAAACTGGATGGGTTTTACTGTTGACCTGTAGAAAAACCCTGGTGTAGCCTCGAAGGTCTGTCAGACATTAAAAAACTGCAGAATTTAAGGGGGGGGAAAAATATGAACTCGATCTCTATGGAGACAAGATCCTGAAAGTATTGCCAGGTAAAGATGGGAAGTGTCTGTCAGAGCCCCATCAGCCAGACTGATTATTTCTAAAGAGTTTGAAGCTGAAAGCAGCTGAAAGATTTTGCTCAGTGAAAAGTGCTTTAGGAAAGAAGAAAAAAAACACAGTTAAGAAGCTGTTGAGGCTTCAGTATAAAGAGCAAAACAGACCTAGACCTCAGTAAATGCCCCTTCTGTTTGCATTTCCAGATCTAACCAAGGAGTATCTCTACTCAGAAGTTACACATTGGGAAGATTCAAGAGTCCAAGGAAGGCTGCAGTAAAAGAGGAAGATGCTTTCCTTTTTTAGGATGGTTTTCCAGATTTCCTGGGGTTTTTTTTCCCGTTGTTTAAGCTCAGGAAAAAAAAATCCAAAGCAAACAGCAAGAAATCCAGGGAAGAGGCTGCAGATAATCCCATTTATCTGATGTACTCCTCCTCAGAGGTACAGGACGGATCTTCATCTGTGCTTTCCTCCAAATCTGGCAAGTTGCCCCAGAGCAATACATTCACACCTGGTGGGAAGGAGGTAAGGAGAATAAGGAGGGGAAAAAAAAAAAAAGGTATTTTTGGATTGTGACCTTAATTTTAAGTTGCACTACTGTCTGTTTTGAGAGAAAATAATCCTTGCAAAACCCGTTAAGTCATGTTCCTGATAAATATATCCCTTTTCTATTTTTCTTCTGAGTGATCTTGGAAGTGCTGTTGCTGTTTGCATCACAATTCAAAGAATAAACCCACTGAAGCATTTCTATAACTAATTCTTGGAGCTATTGATAACCCCCCTCGTGGCTGATTTATTTTTAAAAGCGCTGCTCGGAGACCCAGGTGACACTGAGAGGTTCAGGCAGCGAGTCTGTGAGGAGGAGAAGTGATTTGTCAGGGGGGGCTGTGGATTCCTGAGGACTCCAACCCTGCCAGACTCTTGGCATCCCACCAACACCCAGCTGAAGAAGCTGCAAACTTCAGCTAACGAGGATTCAGCGGGAGAGGGTCAAAGTGACAGCATGACTCACCCAAAAAACAAGAGTGTCCCTTGGCCAGCTGCCTGAGAGCCCAGGAAAGCCACACATACCCCTATAAATAGCTGGGTTTGTAGTATTGCTGCAGAAAACCCCGACTTGTGGCCACAAGTTTTCTGATGGAGATCAATTTACACTCAGATTTTCATTTACAGCTCCAACCACCCTCCTCCCCCCCCCTCTCCAAGCAGTTTTCCAGATTAGCAGTGCAGCAACACTTCCTTGTGCCTCCATATGTTCCCCTCCCTCCATATGCTTGGACTATATTGAGCTGCCTCGTTAGAATCAGGACTCAGGATTTGAGATTTTTAGGGAAGAGAGGAAATAAATTTACCAGAAGGGTCGAGCCTGTTGATGCCAATGACTGCTTGGCTGTGGAACATCCAGAGGTGGCCGTTGTTGCAGGACAACAGGCAAGGTTTGCAGGGAGAAATCACATGGTAACCAACAACGTTACCACTGGAAAGGCAAGTGAAATAATGAGCAACACAAGTGCCTGATGAAAAGGCAGATGTTGGTGGCTTTTTCCAGCCCAAACTGATGTTACATAGCCACGGTACCAGACCATTATGTAATGCTCCTATTTTGATTAAGTTAAGGGAACGTAGTTAAACAAGTATCTTAAATATTTAGGGAACATCTGTCAGGAGTTACAGAATATCTGAGTTTCAGATCTTTGGCATAGAGAACCATTAGTAACCTAAATTGTGTAATCCAGATTAGTTTACATACCAACAAATGCTGGTGTAGTTTTTTTTTTTTAAAGCCTGTGGTTCCATTGGCATCAGCTCAGAAGTTCATCACACACAAAACCCACCTGTACAGGAGCCCCATGCACAGGAGAGAATCAGTGGTAGGAATAATGAGAATCATGGGATGGTTTGGGTTGGAAGAACCTTAAAGACCACCCAGTTCCAACCCCTGCCATGGGCAGGGACACATTCCACTAGCCCAGGGTGCTCCAAGTTTATCCAACCTGGCCCTGGACACTTCCAGGGATGGAGCAGCCACAGCTTCTCTGGGCAACCTGTGCCAGAATATTGAAGCCTTATCAACTTTCCTCAATTAAAACCCAGAACAACCATTTTTCTACTTTCACGTGCTCTGGTGAGATATTTCTGTTTCTCTGCTTCTCCCTAAAAACTAAAATATTGTGTTTCTATCACAACCCCCCCCCACTGTTTAAATCTGAACAAGCTAAAAGTCTTGATTAGGAAGCTGAAGGGATCATCTCAAATGACTGTGAGCTATTTGAGAGTTGTTGTTTTCACTCTTAAATATCAGGCACTAATAAGGAGGATAAAAGAACTCCAAGAACTTTAGCGACAGCATGTTCCATCTGCTCGCAACAACTCGATCTGCCAAGAGGATGTTCTATTAATTAGAATATGAGTAACTGCTTCTTGCTGGGGCCTTATTCACACAGTTATCTCAGTGTTGAAGCAGACATTTAATCAGGCAGGTGGCACACAAGCTTTCCCATAGACTCAGACTCCTGACAAGGTTGTCACATTTTCACTGGGGACTTGCACAGAAAATAGACTGGCAGCCGTGCCCAGGAGTGGTGGGTTGAGTTTCTATCAAGCAGCATTAAATCTGTGACAGAGAATGCAATCTGTTCATTCATCCCTTAACCCTTGTGCTGCAGGAGTCGACAGGGAGGAGGTTAAGCAGTATTTTGGAGTGTCAGGGGCACGGGCTGTGCTCTCACCACTTCAAACACGCGATGTTCTTCAGTTTGCATTTGCAGATTTCGGTGAAATAGCAGCTTCCTATGAAATCAACAGTCCTGGTTGGGAAGGAAGGAAAGACACAGGAGTTTAGACGTGGCTGCGATCACAACTGTAATGTTTTAACAACACAAGTCTGAAGTCACAACAAAATGATGCTGCTACTGGTCATAGTCTGGTTTTAAAGTGCTCCAAGACCACAAGGTTATATTTTCCTACCGACTGCCAGCCACACTCATATGGAAACAAGAAGAGACCCACGTGACATTGCATTAATATCACAAGTCCTCTCAAAATAGCTCAAAAAGCAGAGTTTCTCTTGGTAGAGACTTGCAGGCTGGGGCTGGGTGGCACTGATAGTCAGAAATCTGGTTACAAACGTTGCCTGAGTTCCTGGCAAATCCCAGCTAAGATACAGAGCAATCCCTTAAAGGCTGGGACATTTAAAACCAAACCTTTGATTTCTTATCTCCTTTTCAACCTATACTTTCTGATTACCATGTCATTTCACAACCTGATTTCCTTAGTATTCAAATCTTGCTATGGGAAAGCAGCACACAAACCGACTTTGGGGGAGAGCCCTTCTGGGAGCAGTGACAGATCAGGTTTGTTCTGTTTGCAGGCCTTTATTTCAAATTCTAATCTCTGCTTCTGCAGGAAGCTAGAGGAGCTCCTGAGACTGTGTCATCCCCATGAGTGAATTAAATTTGGAGCGGGGGGGAGCGGGGACAGCCTTGCTTTTGTCATCCCATGGTTTCTCCAGGGCTGAAGGAGAGCCGGGTGGGACTGGAAATGGAGGGATGGGCTGAACTGCGTCCTGTGGGGCTGTTTCGCTGGCGACAGCGGGTTTTTAAGTGCTGGAGCCGCGGTGATGCTCCTGCAGCTCCTGACCCCGCTTAGCTGGGTCAGGCTGAATCCCGGCACTGCCAGCACCGATCCCTCTCCGGAGGGACCCCGTGGGACCCACCCCGTGCCCGGCGCTTACCCCGAGGGCGGGATGTCGGTGGAATAGAGGTCGGTGTCGGTGTCCGCCAGCAGCACCGCCCGCATCCCGCGGGAGCTCAGCACCTGCCGGCAGAACCGGCAGCACAGCACGGCCACGCTCCGGTCCTCGAACGTGCAGCCGCTGGAGGTCATGGCGGGTGGGATGCCTGTCCCGATATCCCGATGTCCCGATATCCCGATATCGATCCCGGTGCCGGCGCCTCCAACGGCCACGCTCCCACCTGTCAGTTTGAATTCCCGACCTCGCCCTCCCATTGGCGGCGGGAGGCCACGCCCACCCCCCATTGAAAAAAATCCGGTGGCCCCGCCCTCGCCGCGCGGCTATTGGCGGGAGTGCGCGCCGTGCCTCGCTCCCATTGGCCACGCCGCCTGTTCCTCCTTGCGGCGCGCCCCGCCCTTACTACTCTTCAGGGCGGGGCCGCCGGCGGGGCGGGAAGAGGGGGCGGGCCTATCTGGGAGGCGGGGGGATTCGATTGGTGGAAGCGCGCGTCGGTCATGCCCAGTGCGGCGCGCCGATTGGCCGAGGCGCGCGGGGGGGGCGGGGCGGCGGCGGGCCGGTGCGGGGGCCCGGGCGGCGGGCGCTCAGCGGCCGGAGGACGCCCCGGCTGCGGGAGGCGGCTCCGCAGCGCCCAGGTAACGGCCCCGCCCGGCCGCCCGACCCCCGACCCTCCTCTACCACCTCCCCAGCGGGGCGGCGAGCAGCGGGCAACCCCTCCGCTGCCTCCGCGTCCCCCCAGCCCCGGCCCCCCCCTCGCCACCCCCCCCCCCTACCCCGGGACCCCCCCACGCTTCCTCTCTCCCCGCCGCCCTCATTGTTCTTCCCGGGCGGGATGCGGATCCGGCGGGTGCCATGTGTTTATTTATTTCTTCCTCCCCGTACGCGCATCTTCCGCGGAGGGCTCGCGCCCTCCCTTCTCCCCCTCCCCCCCA